TATCATGATTGGTCGCGAGATTTTAAGCCAAGGATTCGACGTAAAGTTCACGCAAGATAGCCTCGTTATTTGTAAAACAAAGATCATTAACGCCTGTGGTAAAGTCGCGGAAGATGCGGTCGACATTAACGTGGTTGACACTGATGCGATGGTAACGATGAAGATCGATTAATCTCTGTTCTCGAAAAATTTAAGGAATCATTCATTACGGGTTTCCCGCGTACTCGCGTCAGTACGGGCCAGTTAGAAATACGGCTAATTGATCCCAACGTCACCGTGCAAAGAAGCCCTTACAGGCTTAGCGAGGCAGAGCGAAGAATAGTACGCGAGAGAATAGACGAATTAATTAGAGCAAAAATTGTAAGGCCTAGTAATTCGCCGTTCGCGAGCCCCATGATACTCGTGAAGAAGAAGGATGGCTCAGACAGATTGTGTGTAGACTTTCGAGCGCTAAATAAAAATACGGTCGCGAATCGGTATCCCTTACCCCCTTATTGCTGATCAAATCGCGAGATTGCAGAGTGCGAGATACTTCATTAGCCTGGACATGGTCAGTGGATTTCACCAGATTCCCATTCATCCTAACTCGACGGAATATACAGCGTTCGTTACCCCCGACGATCAATACGAATACGTAACGATGCCGTTTGGATTGAAAAATGCACCAGCCGTTTTCCAGAGAGCCATTTTCAAAGCCTTAGGCGATCTCGCTTATTCGTATGTCTTTGTTTATTTGGACGACGTTCTAATAATTGCCGACTCGATAGACCAAGCTCTAGAAAGGTTGCACGTTATACTAAACACCCTCGTAAACGCCTGATTTTCTTTTAATTTCGTTAAATGTTCCTTTCTGAAGACGTCGGTACTTTATTTGGGATATGTAATTCATAACTGAGAAGTTCGTCCAAATCCGGGAAAAATACAAGCTTTGAATTCTTTTCCTGCACCGTCGACCGTCACACAGCTTAGGCAGTTCATAGGTTTGGCCTCCTACTTCCGAAAATTTATTCCTAAATTTTCACAAGTAATGAAACCCTTGTATGCACTCACTTCTAGTAGCAAACACATAACTTGGACAGATAGGCACGAAAAGATAAGATAAAAGGTCCTGATTGACGCGCCGGTGTTAATGATATTTGACCCCAATCATCCCATAGAACTGCATACCGACGCTAGTTCGGAGGGGTATGGGGCTATTTTAATGCATAAGGTCGAGGGGAAAAACAGAGTCATTGAATACTATAGTAAAAGGACCAGTCCCGCGGAATCCAGATATCATTCGTACGAACTGGAGACATTAGCGGTAGTAATCGTCGTCAAGCATTTCCAACACTATTTACATGGGCGGAAATTCCTAGTTGTTACCGATTGTAATTCTTTGAAAGCCTCCAGTAACAAAGTAAATTTAAACGACCGGGTTTATAGGTGGTGGGCTTATTTGCAAACATTTGATTTCGACATCATATATCGAGAGGGTAAACGAATGGTCCACGTAGATTTCTTTTCGCGAAACCCCGTAGACTCGAACCACCGTCTGATCAACAAAATCGCAGAGAAGGAGATTAATCTAGCCGAGATCTCCGAAGACTGGCTATTAGCGGAACAACGTCGCGATCCACAAATTGTGGAAATTGTTAATAAAATACAGAACGATGAGCTTGCGGACGATATCGCGAACACCTACGAGTTACGATCCGGTACCCTTTACCGTAAGGTACAACGAAAAGGCAGAACCATCTGCTTACCTATCGTTCCGAGAGGCTTTAGATGGTCCGTCATTAACCATCTGCATCAGTCAATTATGCACTTAGGTTGGGATAAAACGCTCGAGAAACTCTACGAGTATTACTGGTTCGAGGGAATGGCGAAGTATGTTCGTAAACTCGTCGAGAACTGTCATGCTTGTCGAGTTTCGAAGGCTAGTTCAGGTAAAATACAAGCTGAACTACATCCCATACCTAAGACCGGCATACAGTGCACATGGCAAAAATGATTCGAAAGAGTATGTCATCGTCTTGGTCGATGCCTTCACGAAATTCGTGTACCTACATTATACTCGCAAGTTGGATTCGCTTAGCGTTATCAAAGCACTTAAGTCCGCTATATTTTTGTTCGGTAGTCCCTGTCGGATAATAGCAGATCAGGGAAGATGCTTTACGGGCCGGGAATTTCAAGAGTTCTGTAAAAGCAAACAAATTAAAGTTCATTTGATTGCGACCGGTGCAAGTAGGGCCAATGGACAGCTAGAACGTGTTATGAGCGTACTAAAAAGTATGTTTATCACGGTAGAAACGACCGGGCGTTCATGGCAAGACGCGATCGCAGAGATACAATTGGCTTTGAACTGTACCACCAACCGTGCGACCAAATCGAGCCCTTTAGAGTTATTGATCGGTAGAGCAGCAAGACCATGTGACTTATTACTACCTGATAACATCGAGGAAAAAGAAATAGACATCTCCAGTGTAAGGCAACAGGCAATAAAAGAAATGGAAACTAATGCTAGGTACGACAAAGAGAGATTCGACAAAACCAAAGCTAAAGTGGTTAGGTTTAATCTCGGTGATTTGATACTACGCCAAAATGAAGAAAGGAACCAGACAAAACTGGATCCAAAATTCAGGGGTCCATTTGCGATATCGGAGGTTCTGGAAGGAGACCGATATACCTTGAAAACACTGGATGGGAAAAGGTCATACAAGTACAGTCATGCTAGATTAAGAAAAATGCCGGATAGTTGCATTCCTGTTGAGTTGGATGTCGATGGTGATGACGAGAACAGTGGCCATGGCGATGTGAGTACCCCGATCTCAGAGGATCGTAGGATTATATGAGCCCGGGTGCGGCCATGGGATGGAGTTCAGTGTGGTCAAGCACTGGAAGTGACAATGTCACGAAGCTGGAGCTGGTCTAGTACCGACAGCGACAATGTCACGAAGCTGGAGCAGATCTAGTATCGACAGCGACAATGTTACGAAGCTGGTTATGGAACGAACTTTGAGTGAATGTGCGATTCAAAGGATGAGACTCATTTGGGTGCGAAATCGAGAATGGTCCATCATGTCATTACGACTCGACTGATAGCCCACAGGATGCAACTGGCACTTTGAATGCAAATCATAATGATACTAATCTTGTTTCCTTTTGTTTTGTTGTCGAAGGTACACCCGAGGATGTGTAACAGTCAGGACGGCCGTGTCGGAGATGAAAGGAAAGCCGAAGCCTTTCCTTGGAAATTTTTTGATCATCCTCTAGTACTTTAGCCTAGATTTTATCATAGCTGTAATTGTTTAAAATTTGTGATAGCGAGATTGGGTTCGAGGTGACAATTGGTCGCCGGACGCAGCCACCGTCACGAGATGAACGCTTTGCCTAACGGAGGTCTGGAGTGCTTGTATGGGTTTTTCGAGAAGTGTGATTGTGGCGGCATGCGGTCTCGAGAGCGGACCTAGCCACGTGTGAGGTTGCCTCGGAGGTGCCGATACAATGGGACATACATTGTATCAATAATCAAATTCCAGGCAGAGGCTGCCTAACAATGGGCGTTTGGAACCTTCTCAATGCTTCCAAACGAGTATACAAAAACCAAAGGCAATCGTACGACGAGAAAAATCTCCACGAGGCAGGCATTCGTGCGATTGCCTTGGAGAGTGACACATCGAGCATTTTCGTCAATCGTATTTTCGCGTAAGATTATTTTTTACGCTTAGTAAAGAGTTACTTCGTTGGCCGTGAATTCGTTTGAACGCAACAAAAATATTGTTAATAGTGTTCATTAAATTCATTATTCGTAAATCATATTATTCATTAATCCTACTATTCGTTAAGCTCATTATTCATTAGACTTATTATCTGTTAAACTTAATTATTCGTACAATTTGTTATTCACTAACTTCATTGTTCGTCAAATTTATTATTCATTAGACTTATTATTTGTTAAGCTTTGTGATAGTCTTGTATATACGTGTATATATAACCTCGGCTTTGTGAAACGATGGCAAGTCCACGCGAACAGTTGTCACGCGCCCAAAATTCCGATTTTAACCCGACATATATTAATACATATATTTCATGAACTGTACACGTATGGAAATTGATTCTGAATGAAATATCCAAGCTCCAAATTTCATTGGTCACACATAAAAAGGAGAAATAATAAAAACTACGAAGATAGTTGTTTTAATCATTCTTTTGCTTCTCTCTTTATTAAGGATAACTTTTCAACGCCGCCTGAAACTAGGCAAGCTTACCTCGGGTCGCGAAAATCATCAGTCATGAGAGAGAAAATAATGATTTTTCTTATTTTTCTTTGAAAGCATTGTTCCTAAAAAAAAAAAAATAAAGAAATATACACACATATATATGTATAAATATATATAAATATAGATAAATATAAGCTAGTCCACGCGAAGAGTTGTCACGCGCCCAAAATTCCGATTTTAACCCGACATATATTAATACATATATTTCATGAACTGTACACGTATGGAAATTGATTCTGAATGAAATATCCAAGCTCCAAATTTCATTGGTCACACATAAAAAGGAGAAATAATAAAAACTACGAAGATAGTTGTTTTAATCATTCTTTTGCTTCTCTCTTTATTAAGGATAACTTTTCAACGCCGCCTGAAACTAGGCAAGCTTACCTCGGGTCGCGAAAATCATCAGTCATGAGAGAGAAAATAATGATTTTTCTTATTTTTCTTTGAAAGCATTGTTCCTAAAAAAAAAAAAATAAAGAAATATACACACATATATATGTATAAATATATATAAATATAGATAAATATATATTTATATATATATATATATATGGTGTGTGATTGAGTGTGTGTGTGTAATATATGCACACATATATATATTTGTCCAACATATATGAGTACTTCTTAGTATGAAATAATAATTGCACTCGTAATTTGAAAAAATATAAACACCCACCATAATGAAAGAGTGAATTCGTTTGAAAAGGAAGGTATATCAAATAATGTTAATATGTGTCCTATTATGAAATCAGCTGTTTATAATTCTCTAATTCGGTTTTCTTTTTTTGGCTCCTTTTTTAAATGTGAAATTATTTATAATTTTACGAAGGAACTTTCTCACGACTAAAGACTCTCGGATCGAGCGTGTATCCACGATACGCAAGCTCCTCGGCATGCGCGTGAAATACAAATGCACGTCTTGCAAACGATGATAATAATAATAATAATAATAAGTATACACTCTCCACGAATCGTCGCTTCTGTTCAAGTCCTTAAGAATAAATTTATTTACATCGCGGACACGGTATTTTATTCTTCGGTTATCTCCCGTTCGTCCTTTTAAAAAAATTCTCCATCTTTTACGTCGATCGAACTCGTATAATATGTTCCTTTCCATTTTTTATTTACTTTTCTTCTTCGAAGAAAGAAACGGAAGTAACCTGTTCTCTAAAGAAACATAGTAGTTTTCGTCCTAATCGAGGATTTATAGCTAAATTTAGTCTAATAATTTTCAAACGAGCCCGTTTCGCTCTCCGAAAAAATTCGATCGACAAACAAATTATTTAGTCGATAAAACAATGCCGTGCGTTCCGACGTTATTTCATTCGAAATTCTACATGATCAATTGTTTTCTTTTTCTTTCTCACTCGTTCTCTGTTTCGCTCTGTAATTCAATCTTGGTAAGTAGCGAAACAGTTGCGTTACAATTATTACGCGTTATTCGCTGAACTGGAAACAATTAGCAATAAACGTCGTCTTTGTACCACATAGCCAAGAGAATACTAAAAATTTCATCTATTCTTCTCTTAAGGATTAGAAGGAGAAACATGCTACAAATGAGAAGAAAATGCTCTCGGTGCGAACGCTCTCTTTGTGAGGCAATAACATATACTTAAACTGTGTATAATTGTAATACTCTATAAGTAGAACTTTGAATTACTCTCGGCTATGGATTAAAGTCGACACGATAAAATAGGCTCGTCATTCTTACCTATCGTGTAATAAGAATGAAAAATATTCTTACAATATTATTCGACGAACGACGAAGCGGATGATATTTTATCGCGCCGAAAATCGTCTTGGAACATTTATTGCTAACATACAATTTTGTTTTTTCTCTCTCTCTCTCTTTTGTTTCGTTGAACAAACGTGTCAAAGGCATATTTGACAATAGTTGAAATACGATTCACGAATCTAAGTTTACATCTGATCGGCTTATCATTTATAGTCAATAAATACATGTTTTTCTCCGTACACGTTTTCGAACTCGGAGTGCAATCTTCGATATGCACAATAAAAGAAGAACGATGAAGAAATGGCTATGCGTGAATTGTTTCAAAAATTCACAAACGACAGAGGTGGATCACCGTTTTGCGTTCTTATTGTTTACAATTATCAATGTGTCGTATTATTATAATTACCATTATTTAAATGTTAATTGATATTAATATTATTATTACTATAGCTGCTCGTTTTTAAGATAACGCAACAAATGCTCGGGTATGAAATACGCGTGAAAATCAGTGATAACATTTTTCTTTTTTTTTTAAATCGATACAGTACGCACGGCCATTCGCAAATATATTTGATAATATAATTCTATTATCGGTTTCTCTTAAAAAATAATACCTACAGAGAATAGAGTCGAGTATTAACTGTGTGTTCGCTAAATATACGCATGGTTCCTTTATCTTTTGAACGAGTGAAGATAATTAATGGAATCTTTCGTGTATTACCATTGCGCGTACTGCAACTTGTACCATTACTCTGTATTTTTTTCATTTTAATATTTCTTACATTGTGTGGTGTAACGCGATTGTATAACCGTAGTGTGTCGAGTCATTCATTTGGTTTATTTTGGCATACAAAATAATTTTATTTACAGTCTGACAATAATATTAATCGTTTATCTATAGTCCTTTATGCTAAGTGGCGATAGTATAATTCGAATTACTTACTATATTATGCGGTTTTTTCGGCTATGTACATAACAAAACGGCACGAATAAATATCATTGGACATGGACCAAGTTTTTCTTTCAGTGTGCATGCTCACCGCTTCGCACAAACGATTCGTTTCTTAGGGACATTCGAACCTGTAGAAAATTCATCTTTGAAGAACAATCGATGGAGGTGGGATACTAAAAGTATGTACAATTTGTACCATTAACATCTATGGAACTACGGCGTTCTACGTTTTGATCATTGAAACGGAACATTTACTCTAAGATCTTGATTGATTCAAGGAAAAGAAAGAAAAAAAATAGTATGAAGATGCGGTAAGAAACGAAACTTTGTTAAATGCATCGTGAACGTAACAAAACTGAAATGATCAACTGAAACAATGACAATGAAAGTGTACTATTGAATAATAAAGTTCTTTCGCAACATCGATAAGAACGTCGCACAAAGCATTCGTGATCCGGAATTCACTGAACAGCAAAGAAAAACTTGTTACCTAAAATGTAAAACGTACAAAGATTATTCTATATCCGACTCATTCGAGCTTCAAATCTGTTTAATCACGTCTCTCCCTGTCTAACGAATCGATCGACGATTAATTCGATAGTTGTGAAATTTACGATGCATTGTCTCGCGTTCTTCGATGCAAATAAAAACATGGCAGTTGAATGGAATAACAAATGGAAAGTTGGAAAAAGGTATTATTTAGCCCTCGAAACGAAATCACAAGTTCGACTTACATTGTATAGGCTCATGATTCAAAATGTATTATTCATTAGTTTCAATGAACGATATACGTTTCCATGAAAAAATGAAGACGATTAAATTTAAATATCGTGAACGATATATTACTCGTTTTCGTAAGATAGATGCAAAATATCGGTACGATATCTATTATAAAAAATCGGAAATCTGAGATCGATTCTGAGGGCTATGTTACCATAAGACGTATTCTTTCGATTATTTGCACATAGAAAATTAAAAGAATTCGTCTTATATTTCTACAAGATAGTATAAAAAAGAAGGGGGGAAAAGGAAAGAATAAAAAGCGATGTTGTACAGATCGCAAGTAAAATGAAAATCGCGTAATCCAATGATCAAGGACGAAGTGAAATTCCCTTTCTCCTTAACTTACTGCGTATTTAATTTGACCTGAGTAAGATTAATTATTTTCCTTTCTTTTTCGTTTTTCATTCTTTTCTCTAGTCGAAAGCATAAATCGCTGATCGATTTACGTTAAACTTTGGTTAACGTTAAGGCGTCAAGCTTGCGTCTTTTTGTGAATTCTCATCTTCGATGCAGCCATATATGAAGAACTGTTATAAGAATTATTCCCTTCTTATCGTAAACTTTGGATAGAATGCTGCAACGGATGAAGCAGACAGCTAACGAACATCTATTCTCCTCTTGATCATCTGGGACGACTGTGAGAAACGAGGACGACGATGAAAGCTGCATTGCTTTGGAATCTCAACGCAGTTTCAAGGACGAAGAAGCAAAACGAGGTGAATTTTCCCCTTTCAGGATGGATATCAATCAGGTTACTTCGGAGCACTTCCTGAAGAGACTTTTACCGACATCCTCTTCTACTGATGTCCGGATACTACGACGTGTGAGACTGCTGAGACTGTGACAGCTTGCTGGAACTTTTGTGATGGCTAGACGCGTGTTTCTCCTGAAAATACAAAGAGAACTGTGGTACTCCAATCCTCAAAAGAAATTGTTTTAAAAAACTAATAATAAATTGATCGATATTTATCCAGTTTCGTCGAAATAAAATCAAGTAAATTCTCTATTTCCTTGGTAGAATGTTTTAGAATTATTTGATGTTGTTGGTTTACTCCTTATTTGATCATTAAACGCTGAAATTTCTTTCCGTTATCTTTCCTTCTTTTCTTGTCGATTATAAAAGAAACAGATGAGGAATACGCTAATTTGCATCAGCCTATTATAGAAATTGAATTAAAAGAAATTAATATTAATAAGATATGCCGATTAAACGGTATCGATCGCAATTCCATTTTTCGTTGCGACGCATAATTTAGGAATTACTGAATAAACACGTATTCCTCGATGCATGTTTCAGACACGTGATAAGTGTTCGTATAGCTATATGAATGAGTTACAGGTATTCAGTTAAAATAATTATGAATCATAATTACTGTTTTTAAAAAAAAGACGCAAATGAATTCCAATTTTATGGACGCGACTAACTGAGAATTAAATCGAGAAACATCAAGTGACTTCATGAACGAATGATATTAAAGCTTCTATACGGAATGCGGATGAATATTATGTATATTCAAAAAGACCAAATAAAGAAGTGGAATAAAGTCAAGTAAACGTCATAGTATCGCTAATAGATGGCACCTAATTTTATCATTCCCCCCCCCCCCCCCCCCCCCCCCCCCTCCCCCCCCCCCTCCCCCCCCCCCCCCCCCCCCCCCCCCCCTCCCCTCCCCCCCCCACAACCACCCCCCCCTCCCCCTCCTCCCCCCCTCCCCCCCCCCCCCTCCCC